ACGCGCAAATACCACGGATCTGTAACTAAGTTAAATGACCGCATGGGGTGGGGGGTAAGAAAAGAGGCTACGTGACGTTTCCTCGTAACTTAGTGTTATAACTTCTATGGTCATTCTCTATGGGAAGAGTATTCTGTCCATCAACTGCAGTAGGCCATAAAGTTGACTTTAAAGACTACTTTTACCTTGATTCTTATGGGCAAACATTTCTACGCTGATTAATGGCAGTAAACTTTCATTATGTGACAGCGCCATTGCGATCCATACTCTTTAGTGGAACCTTGGCGGGTGGAATCGGTTGAAAACAGCCTGAAGAGTTAGTTTCGCCAATAGCTAAACAAGCAGGGGGGCCACCGAGAGGCACTAAATGTCCGGCAGTTTCCAAACTCCCTCAGGATTCAAAAAGTCCGCGCTTCAAATATCGCGTACTATAAGCGCTCAGCCACTCTCTCTGACGACTTTGAAGGATCGTAGTCAATTACTGGACAGTCGCTTCGTCTCTGATTGATCCCTTGAATCAACAGCAACGATTTCAGGGATAAGTGCTTATTTTTTTAATTTCCTTTAAAAATCTTGATTTTTTACATTCGCGAATTATAGGTAACATATTTCAGCATTATGAGAACTGCTTTATTTTTAGGGTGACTCTGGCACTCCTGTAGTACTCTGCAACCGAAACACAGAAATCCTATATGCATTTGTTTCAGGTAGAGTGAATTATATGGATTTACTGTTGACTGATGTGACTTTAAATCGTGAATTCTTAAATGCAGCTGCACAGCAACTGCCTACTTTGAATGAACTAAGTGTTAGAAAAATGCGCCGAACCCCCGAAAGCTGTACTTCCTTCACACTTGCAGACTGACCCCAGTTTATAAGTTATTTATCGGAATAAAGCATCGGAAATTGTCAAATCACTTCTACGATGTTTTTTCTTTGTGCAGAAAACTCAAGACCAATCCTTAAGGTCAGTAAAATATTGTTATGCAAATAGGCGGCAAATATTATTGTTAACTACTGACATCCAATTTGCATGGCAAAAATAGTAAGGCTACCTGTTTCACAACTATGTTGTGGTAACCGACTTGTACCGCATCACTATACCGTTACTTGTTTCTAGTCATCTATAGCAACCGCTTAAGCAGGCCACGATTCAGTGGCATCTAATCGCATTTATCCCTTGCATAGGGCACATGACTGCGTTGCAACGACAACATGTTCTCCCAAAGGGATTAGAAGCAAACGGGCTGGGCTGTGTTACGGTATAACCAGGTGTAATAAGTAACAGTACTGTTATGCACTACTGAAATATCGCTTTATAGCAAGTTAATTAACAATTTTTACCGAGTTCAACCGGCATCACTGGTCAAATTGCATTTCAACTTATGAAATAACAGACTCTTTATGACAGAAGAATCTTGGTATTTTTTTTTCTTTAGTAGTGCAGTACTGATTAAAATGCCATCTTAAATCACAGATTCATTGCGTAATCTTCCACTGATCTGTGTTCCGGATGAGCTGTCTGCTACTCAATAATCGTACAAGTTAACTCTTAGAGACAAACGTCTTCTGCTGAAGTAAGAGGTGGGGAGTAATGAAGGATAATGCTTTAATGGCTTAAGACAGTAGTTGATAGTCACGCGCTAATGATATCTGTCCGTGACCATAACCGGAACCCAAACCGCTAAACCGGACCCTGGCGAACACCTCACAAAATGCTCCAGGTCTCCAAATTAGTTCAGGTGGATGAAGGTTTGGGAGACATTAACATGAATTCATAACTGTTTGCACGCCAAATGAACTGCCGATTGTCTATATGCAGAAAGATGTCGGTAGGAGATGAGGTGTAAGGAACGTCGACTTACGAACGTGGCGGGGGAGCCTACATCGACTAAAGGTTGGATTAAGGATCATAAATCATGGTGTAACCTGCATTTTGGAAGAATGTCATGTTCCTTTTTTAGACCGAATGTTACACAATTGAATGAAAGTCCCAAGAGTATGTTAGACACTCGTTTAATTATAACCTATTAAAACCGTAGCAAATGACAAAACCACAATTCCCCCGGTAAAGACATATCAATTCCAAGCATAAAATTTACACGGCCTTGTGTCTGATGCCTGTGACCTGTTTCAATGGTTCCCTGGACTACTACAAGCAAATGGTGAGTGTGTTCGCCGTATAAAACCGGGATTAGAAATTTAAATGAAAATACGTAGTTAATTTATTAACCACGTGGCACACATTCAAGATTCGATCTCGACCAGACGAATGAATTTATAAAAGACCAACTGAGAATTCTCGCCACTGTGTTGCAATCGCACACTTCTCTATTATGCGCAATTTCAATTGCTTCCGTTGATTATGCAGTCAGTACAGTACTCTTTAGGCGGTCTGTGACGATTCTGCACGTATCGAAGCCGTTACCAACGTACAGCCCTCTGGCGCGAGTTTGAATATATATGATTGGAATGTGATTATCTCGATCACCTGTAATATGCAACATTTACATATCGATGAGAAACTCTCTGTGAGCACAAAGTGAAATTTCTATTAGACTAATGATGACGTTATACACTGTGTAAAATCTGTTTCTATATAAATAAAATTACTTTATATATATCAGCTCATTGTTCAACCATAAAAATTCGACTTTAAGTTAAATTGTATTAACAAATTTAAATTTTGTAAAATAGTTGGGCAGTACAGTTATCCGCTCCAACTGAATTTTGGAAAGAAACAATGAATAAAATAATTCTAGCACGTAATATCTATGCACAGTTATAAATTTAAATTATGATATGAAACAAATCTCTGAAATTCATAAATTTGACAATGGATTCGCAATGTGCTCTCAGTGAGTTTCCCAATGATA